AGAAGAAGAAAAAGCCACAGCTTGAATACTGTATTTTTTTAAGAACCATAATCCCAACGTTAGAACGGAGAATCATAAATTTGCTTATTGCAAAGTGGCATGGATTCCTCAAAGCATTCCCCCTAACTATTGAATTTTCTAGCTTTCTTGTACAGACAATTTATAATTGTACATATACTCTTTCATTGTTCCTCTTTTGTCCCTGGATGACTCAAGATTTAGTTTAGATGTAACATCTAAATTCCTCTCTTTCTCTAAGATAGGTACTCCTTTCTGCTCCCACCAAAAAAAAAAAAAAAAACTATGTTGAGTGGCTATAGTTTCTGAAGACCAAGATTTAAACACTGGTTTTTCTACTCATTAACTTATAACTTTGAGAAGAAAATTAAAAGACAGTAACCTCTCTCAGTCTGAAGTTTTCTTGTCTATAAAAACTCATGAAAGAAATTAAAGCAAACATAAATGAAAGACATCCCATATTTATGGTTTAAAAGGATTAATATTGCCCAAGTGTCCATATTATTCAAAGCAATCTACAGATTCAATACCATCCCTATCAAAATCCCAAAGACAATTTTTACCAAATTAGAATCAAACAATCCTAAAATCCACAAAAGACCCCCAACAGTCAAAGCAATCTTGAGCAAAAAGAACGACATGAAGACATCAACTTTCCTGATTTCAAAATATGTTACAAAGTTAAAGTAATCAAAATAGTATTTTACTGGCATAAAAACAGAGGTATAGGCCAAAAGAATACAAAAGAGAGCCCTGAAATAAACCCACACACATATGATCAACTGATCTTTGACAAAGGTGCCATGAATGCACAATGAAAAAGAATAGTCTCTTCGATAAATGGTGTTGGGAAAACTGGACAGCCATATCCAAAACATCAAAATTGGACCTTATCTTATGCAGGCACTGAAACTAAAAGCTCTGAGAAAAAAACATGGTGCAAAATCTTGACATTGGTCTCTACGATGATTTCTTGGATATGACAGCAAAAGCACAGTCACCCGAGTAAAAATAGATAAGTGGGAAACAAAGCTTACAAACAGAGCTTAAGTTAGCTTATTTTGCAAGGCTTACTTGACATAGATCATTTCTTGCTTATGTGTCTGGAAATGATAAGCAAAATCTGAACTGTTTCCCAAGGGTGCTATGAGGTAACCAGTGAAAATTGTAATATTATAACCAATCACTGTGAAGAATATATAGTCACTGCCTTCCCACTATATATGCTGCTTTATAACACTATGTCCCCGAGCCTTATTCCATGTTCTGGAAATGCTCCTAGTTTGAGTGCTGCTGGTTTGTAAACTGTCCTTTAGTGTGTGCACAATAAAATTTTACCAATCACTACTTCAGTGATTTATTTGTTTTACTTTGGCTATTTTGAACCTTTGACAGAGTACATCAATCTTTAAAACCTTGCACAGCAAAGGAAACAATCAACAGAGTAAAAAAGTCAACCTAAAGAATGAGAGAAAATATTTGCAAAATATATATCTGATAAGAAGCTAATATCCAAAATATGTAAGGAACTCCTACAACTCAATTGCAAAGAAACAACTCCACTTAAAAATGTGTAAAGGGCTTGGATAGACATTTCTCCAAGGAAGACATACAAATGGCCAACAGGTATTGAAAAGGTGCTTAAAATCACTAATCATCAGGGAAATATAAATCGAAACCACAAGATATCTCCTCTTACCTGTTAGTTTGGTTATTAGCAAAAAAATAACTCAGTAAGTGTTGGTAAGGATGTGGAGAATTTGGAACACTTGCACACTGTTGGTGAGAATGTAAAATGGTACAATCACAATGGCAAAATGTACGGAGCTCCTCAAAAAATTAAATAAAACTACCATAACACTGGCAATCCCACTTCTGGGTATATATATCCTGATTGAAATTAGGATCTTGAAGAGATAGCTACACTTCCATGTTCACTGCAACATTATTCACAATAGCAAAGGTATAGAAAGAAACCAGATGTCCATTGACAGATGAATGGATAAAGAAGATGTGGTATATACATACAATGGATTATTCAGCCTTTAAAAAAAGGGAAATCCTAACACTTGTGACAATATGGATGGATCTGAAAGACATCACGCTAAGTGAAATGTCTGTCACAAAAGGATAAATACTATATGATACCTCTTATATGAGGCATCTAAGAGTCCAAGGTATAGAAGTAGACATTAGAATGGTGGTCACCAGGGGATAGGGGCAGGGGGAACATGAGGAGTCATTGTTCAATGGGTATAAAGTTACAGTTATACAATATAGTAAGTCCCAGAGACCAGCTGTACAAAATCGTGCCCATATTTAACAGTAAGGTATTGAATACCTAAACGTTTTTTAGAAGGGTCGATTTTATGTTTTCTTACCAAGAAAAGGAGGGAGATAATGAAACTCTTATAGGTGATGGATATATTTATTACTTTGACTATAACACGAGTGCTTATATGTGTCCCAACTCACCAAATTCTATACATTAATTATGAGTGATTTTTTGCATACCAATTATATCTCAATAAAGCTAGGGAAAAAAGACAATGCCCTGGATTTGAGAAATGCCCCATAATATCAGCTATTGACATAGTTATTATTTAATACTTATGGTGTTATTACATTGTAATTTATGTTTGTTTCCATATACCCTACTATGCTAAGAGTTTAAGGACAGGGAATATATTTTAGATAAAATTTATTTTATCTTCATTTTCTCTGGTTTATATAGAATTCTTGGTTGGCAAAAATATTTTGTTGAGCACTTTTTTTAAGATTTCATTTAATTTTTTTATTATTATTATTTTAATTTTTAGAGAGAGAGAGAGCATGAGCAGGGGAGAGGGGTAGAGGGAGAGAGAGAGAGAGAGAGAAAGAGAAAATCTTAAGCAACAGCATGGAGCCTGATGTGGGACTTGATCCCACAAGCCTGGTTTCATGTCCTGAGCCAAAATCAAGAATAGGACACTCAACCAACTGAGCCACCCAGGCACCCCTGTTGAACACTTTTATAACAGGATTTAGTTGACCCAAGGCTTTTATTGTTTCTGTTGAGAAGTCTGCTATAAATCTTACCGTTGATCCTTTGAAAAGACTGTGCCTTTGTTCTGTTTTCAAAATGTTCTCTGTGGGGGCACCTGGGTGGCTCAATTGGTTAAGCATCTGACTTTGGCTCAGGTCATGATGCTCTGTCTCCGTCTCTCTCTACCCCTGCCCAGCTTGTGCTCTCTCTCTCTCTAAAAAAAAAATAAACACTAAAAAAAAATTTTTTTAATGTTCTCTTTGTCTCTGGTTTTCAATCTTTTTGTCTCTGGTTTTCGACATTATTATGTGATTAAGGGATTAAGGTTTGATATTTTTATTTCATTTGTAGTTTGTGGGCCTTTTTCGATTTGTGAATTGCTATCTTTCAGAGATAATTGAAAACAGTTAGCCATTAGATCTTTGAATATTTCTGCCCATTCTCTTTCTCATCTCCTTTTGGGACTGTAATCATATGTATGTTAAACCTCTTCATTGAGTCCCACATTTCTAATATTGGTTTCTGTGTTTTTTTAATTTTTTTTATTTTTTATGTCTTTATTTTATTTTGAGAGACAGAGACAGAGAGCGGGTGGGGGAGGGGCAGAGAGAGAGGGAGACCCAGAATCTGAAGCAGGCTCTGGCTGTCAGCACAGAGCCCGATGTGGGGCTCAAACCCACGAACTGTGGGATCATGACCTGAGCCGAAGTCGGACACTTAACCAACTGAGCAACCCAGGCGCCCCTGTATTTTTTTTAAAAATGTTTATTTATTATTGAGAGAGACAGAGACAGAACATGAGCGGAGGAGGGTCAGAGAGAGAGGGAGACACAGAATCCAAAGCAGGCTCCAAGCTCCAAGCTGTCAGCACAGACACAGGGCTCAAACTCACAAACTGTGAGATCATGACCTGAGCCAAAGTTGGATGCTTAATTGACTGAGTTACCCAGGCGCCCCATTTGTTTCTGTATTTTAAATTTTGTTTTCTCTATGTATTTTTCTCTATGTACTTCAATTTGGATACTTTATATAGACCTTTCTTCAACTGGATGTTATTTTGTATGTCTATTTTTTGAGTCTCTTTATTCTGGCAAGGACTATTATACTGGATACTGAAGAGATCTCCATTATATTCAGTCCTTAAAGTGAGGGACTTTTTCTTGTGTGTTTTATGGAAGTTCAATCTTGAGACACTAAGGAAATACACTCTGGAGAAAGACACCTAACTTTCATTCCTTACTGCAATGGATTCAACAATGTGTTACCCCCAAATTTATATGTTGTATACTTCATTTCTAATATTTGGAGGTGGGGCCTTTGGGATGTGATTAGGGCATGAGGGTGGAGTCCTCATGAATGAGATTAGTACACCTATGTAAGAGGTCCCAGCGAGCTCTCTTGTCCTTTCCACCACACGAGGTTGTAGTGAGAAGTTAGCAATCTATGAACCAGGAAGTGGATCTCACCAGACACCAAATCCATTGGTGCCTTGATCTTGAACTTCCCAGCCTTCAGAACTGTGAGAAATAAATTACTAGGGTCTTTTGGGGGATTTTATGTTTTTTGCTTTTATTTTTTTAACATTTTATTTATTTCTGAGAAAAAGAGCCAGTGTGAGAAGGAGAGGGTCAGAAAGAGAGGGAGACACAGAATCTGAGGCTCCAGGCTCTGAGCTAGCTATCAGCACAGAGACCGGCGTGGGGCTCGAACCCACAAACTATGAGATCATGACCTGAGCCCAAGTTGGCCGCCCAACCGACTGAGCCATCCAGGTGCCCCATAAATTACTGTTTTTTATAAACCACCCAGTTGGTAGCATCTTGTTATGGCAGCCTAACTGGACTAAGACACTTTCTATTTCATGGGTTATTATTCTTATGTGGCATTCATTAACATGTTTCTCTCCTTTATTATTTTCTTTTTTTTTTTTTTTTTAGGATTAAACTTAAGTTTAATTACAATTTTTTTTCCAAAGAAACATACTAACTCAGTGGATCCAACTTCTCATCTTTAAGACCTAGATAAGGCAATACAAAAATTCTGCTTGTTTATTGAGAAAGAGACACATAGTAAACTAACAAAGGAACTAACTCAAAATATTCTTTCTGAAGGCTGCTGAATGCCTGAAGTGAAATGTTCTAGGTCAGATGAGATTTCAATCTAATTTTAGTTCTAGAAACTGCAACTCGTGATGATCCTATTATCCTAGCTGGCTTTAGGCAAAAACTGGTTTCATTTTATATATATAAAAAAAAGAAAAGAAAAGAAAAGAAAATACCCTATAGATATCAGGTATAACAAGTCCTAAGTATAGAGACTACATTAGTAGGACCATTTCTCAGTGACAGTAGCTAGCTACCTACCTCATTAAGAGTTTAACACTGTGATTTGTTACGACAATGATTAAAACACTCAAAGGGGACAATTAAGTCCCAACTGAGATGTAGAGGCAAGCATCAGTGTTTGTTATCCTGAGCTGAAATTTCATCATCTAAGAACCCCCCATTACATTAAGCCTTCAACTGTGAATCCTTCCCTAATACAAAAATGTGGAAGAAAAGAATCTCAATTTCATTCCTAATAGATGAGCTGCTGGGATGAGCATGACATCAGTGAATTCTACTTCTTTAAAAGTACCCTCAGATTGGAGTCTATTTTTAAATTACAAAATTATTTAAATACAATATTAAAAACATACACCAAAGACGACTAAGTTCAGACTAGAGCAGTCATTCAGAAATGAAATAATTAGAAACCAAAATTGAAACCTTACCTGCCCACCCCTTCCAGAAAGTAGGCAGGTATCAGGAGGTAAGCTCCAGAAGGGGAGGCAATGAGGGGAAATAAAAGCAAACAAAAACCAAGATACACAGGAGTTGAACGTATGGCAACAGTGACAAGAATGTACCCTAACATTTCTACTCCTTAGCAGCACCAGGAGTGCCAGAGACAAAAAGGAAACAGAGGAGCAGTTCAGTGGCAGCTGTCCCAGCTTTTTTCAAGTTGCAAGGCCTCACTGCAGAATTCAATTCCACAATGAGTCCCCAGATCCTGAATATCTGCAAGGTTCCATAAAAGAAGGCTCAAAACAAATCAAGCGTTTTAAAATTAAGAACCTATATAGTTAAATAGCAAACTAAAAGAGAGATCTGGTTTTTGACTAGGAAAGATGTGTCGAGCTTTTCAGTTATTTGAGCATTTAAGAACGTAAACGAGATGCTCTGCAACTGAGAAGATAGACACTTTGGGGGCAATGCCAGATGCACCTCTGGAAATTAGATCACGGTCACAATTTTCCATTTTAAACGCTAAAGCATTAACATGCAGAAAAAATTCTTAACGCTGTTGGTCTGAAAGTCAAAATACCACCACTAACCAGATTCATAACTAAAAATCAACAAGTGTTAGGTCTAGGATTTTGGAGTGATTTGAGTATACCCTACTCCCAACATCAAATGTTTATCTTGGAAAGGGCTAATGAATGAGTAAAAAAGATCCAGTTCTTAAAAATGACCCAAAATCCCAAGAGAAACGATATAATATATACACACATATATGTATGTACAAATACATCGTACATACATACATACATATGTACATACATATAGGTATGAACAAGGACATTTGGGTTTAAGGTTAGTTGTCAACTTTTCCAAGGACATCTTTTTTATTTAAACCACAGAGCGAAATCTTTACTTATTTCAAAACCACCTCCGCGATCTAACACTGTTAGAAATGAATGAATTACCCAATTTTGTGTTCAACTCGTTCCCTGTCAACATCACTTGGTTCTTAGCTACTAATCTTTCCTGTTACTCTTGGTTTTGTCGGCTTGCTCACCTGTGGGGGTTTGGGCCTGCTGACCCTGCGCACCTGAAGAGGCTGCCGGCTGTGCCGCTTTCTGCTTTCACAGTGTCCAATCAAATGTGTGGTCACATTGGTGGCTCAGAGTCCTGAAAAGAATGCGGAATAGCTGCCTCAGATACGTGTAGGCTTCCTCAAAGCGCAGCCCACGACAACAGTTTAAGTACATGGCAAATTCTGCAGGAATTTACATAAAACTTCAACAGGAGTGGACATCTTTTCACTTGTCTTTTCAAGTTTTGCTTTTTTTGTTCAGCCTTTAGTCCTTGGCAGGGCAGGCTGGTTCTATTCAAAGGTATCAAAATATATCCTAATGATTCCATGTCACCTCGACGACTCTGTTCAATATCAAGACGCGCGCCGATGCTAGCACAGCAGGCAGTGCTGGTGAGATTTTTATCTTCTCTGTACGGTATGTGTTGCCTTCTCCTGTTGTCTCTCTACTTTCTGGCCAAATCAAAATCAATAAGGAACAACTTGTTACAGTGAATTAGGCGGTTATCTGGTTTCACGTCTCTGTGTATAAAATCCTTTGCATGCACACACTCAATTCTACTGGTCATCTCGTCAGCTAACGTACGTAGAGCTGTCGTTGTGAACCTTCTTGAACAGAAAGTGAAGAGGTCTTCGAGGCTGGGTCTGAGAAGACCCACAGTCTTTTTCCGGACCACACCACCGTATGTGGCGGATGCCAGCCCCGCCTTGAAGAATCTCAGGGAGTTGGCTCTCGTACAGCAACTGGGGATGCCGGCCTTTTGAGATTCTAGCTTCACTGGCACTTCCTCGCCGCTGGTAATGTTGATGGGCACGTAAACGTCCCCGAAGGAGCCAGACCCCATCTTCCATAGCCGTTTATATTTCCCTCCGACAATGACTTCGGCCTTGGAGCCGCAGCTACCCGCCATCCTGAGAGGCTAAGATGGAGGCTGGGGCCAAGCCCCAGCACTTCTGAGGGGCGGACAGAGGACGCTGAGGAGGGCAGCAGGAAAGGGACAGCGCTGGCTCTTTCAAGGCATTACAGGCCCCAGAAACGGTCAAGGGGAACCTGATGACCGCCGCCCAGTCAGGCTTCTTTCTGCCAGGCCGCAGCTGACGAGCCGGGTCTCGCAGTTACCAGGCTGGGCCCGCTTGTTTCTGGGCGGCCGCTGCGACCTCGCTTTCGCGGCTACGTCGCGGGCTGGAAAGGGGGCCGCGGCGGTTTAGGGCGGCGATACCACCACTGCCGCCGGCTCCCGCTGGAGGGCCTCCTGTCACTCCGCCGACGCAGCCATCTTGTCACTTGTTACACAAAATGCCCCCAGTCGGTTCCCCGGAGCCGCTTCTTCACGGCGCAGAGCATTCTGGGAAAGGGACTATTTTTCAATGTTGTCTATGCTTTTTAATCTTCTTGTGGGCCTTCTTCTAAAACTAAAACTAGGGGCCCCTGGGGGGTTCACTTGGTAAGGGTCTGGCTTCAGCTCAGGTCATGATCTCCCAGTAAGTGGGTTCGAGCCCCGTATCAGGCGCTGTGTTGAAGATTCTTGGAGCCTGGAGCCTGCTTCAGATTCTGTGTCTCCTTCTCTCTCTGCCCCTGCCCCTTTCTCTCTCTCTCTCTCTCTCTCTCTCTCTCGGTCTGACTCTAAGATGAATAAACATTAAAAAAATTTTAATAAAAAAACCCTAAAACTTTACCACAGCATTAGGAATGCTATTATAACCAATAGAGAACCTGGATACAGATAGGCAGAGAGCTAAAAACTTTTCTAGCATGCTCCGTAGTAAAGACACTTAGACAAAATAAGAGTAAGATTAATTACACCTATGTTTCTTTCTGGAAATGGTGAGAAAGATTTAATACAACCTAAGAAGAGGAAGAACGGAACATTGAATGAAAATTAACAAACATCTTCAGCTTGGAACAGTCCTAAGTGTTTACTATAAGAAACTAAAAACCAAGAATCTTCTATGCTTTTAAAAATGTGACATTGGCACACCTAAATATCATTTAAACTCTTCTGGAAGAAGAGACTTTGCAACATATGAGCATTTATAAACCTGAGACACGAGAGAATATAAAACCTGCATTTTTAGTTGTGGTTTTTCTGAATGGAACTAGGTTCACTCCAGGTGAAGAAACATAAGAAGGCCGTCTCAAAAGTGTTCTACATTTATTTAAGCAACTGTCTCCCTCTTAAGAAAAATATTTTACAGCTCTAATGGGGCAGCGAGAAGAAATCATGCAAGTTATAATGCTTTCTAGTGTAACAAAGGCCTGGAGACCCAGAGAAGGACAACATATGCTAAAAAACTATTTAACCTGACAACATTTAGGAAGCACTGAAGGAACAGGAACTTTCTGGGTCCTTCAAGTGCTGTAACAAGAGCTCCATGTATCATCTGCAGCCAATGCCAACCACAGTACGTATCCTAGAAAAATATGGCAGATTCTGAGGAGAAACCACATGTTACCCTCAAAACTAGAGGTAGAGTTGGCAGGGGTGCTGGGAAATGGGCAGGTATGCCTACATGGAGAAAAATATAAGTAAATATATAATTCTTCCGTCACTGGCTCACAGAACCAAAAATAATTTCCTGCCTCATAGTTCCTTGTTAGTGGACTGCATAGCTCCTTGAAGATTAATATTAATCATGTCCTCAATTTATAAATTAAAAGAAATTAATGAATTTGTTTCAGAATTTCTAGGAAAATTTTCTGGATTTCTTAGCTCTCAGATATCATCTATTGCCATCTTTCTTTCAGCCCCTAAATAAAGCATGTTAAGCATTAAATGAGTAACGAGAAAAGCTCCCTTCTGCATTCCCAGCACCATGCTATGACTGTGTACAACTTTGCAAGATACAGTAGACTCAGAGATCCTTACAAATCCAAAAGCATGTCAATGTCTCCAGCTATATGAGTGATCAGTGATGACATTAAGAAGAAAAATTGCTGAGAACCGACATTTTAGATATGTTCATAAGCACAGCATTAAACGACAAGGAAATGAAACTCTGATATCCTTAGCAAACAGAGGCAAGAACAGTTAGACTCAGATTTTATTCTTGTGATGGTACAACCTCTGAGATGTAACATTTTCAAAGGTTTTGTTTACCACTGTTGACTGTGGGAGATTCTAAAAAGTGCAGGCATCAAAACAAGCTAAATGGCATAATATCAACTCCATCATCTGTAGCCATTTGGATTTCAATTTTCACCAAAGGTTATTTCATTCTCTCCAACCCCACTCACCCCCCCCACAACAGACCTAATACTATCACCTCCATAGCTCTTTCTTTGCTCTCTAATGTAATAAGTTGTTTCCAGAATATTTTGCATGACTAGAAGAAAGGATTGAATAAAATATTATACTTTACAAATCTCACTTGGCAAAAAATGTGCATATAAATCAACATTTCTGTTGAAAGCTCCCAAATCCTTTTTAGTCTCCCACTGAATTCACTCAGTGTCCCACATATGAGTGCATTCAGAAGAATAATGCATTTGGAAAGTGCCTCACTTGATATTAATGGTTAAAAAAGCAATTCAACAAGATGATCCCAGCTTTAAGTTTCACATCAGCCTTCAAGATAGAGGTGAAGTTCAGTCATACCATTTTGTCCTAAAGCTGCCTAAGAGAGAAAGGCCTCTGGCCATGTAAGTGGTGCCATTCAACTCAAAAGAGGACTCTACACACACACACACACACACACACACACACACACACACACACACACTCATATATATCCTAAAAAGATGGTGTGGTAAAATGAATAGAACTTGGACAGGCTTTGTAATAGGGCAGAACTAAATTTGAATCCAAGCTCTTCACCTTGATTAAACAATTCAAACTTGTCGAATTTCAAGTCCTTTCTTCAGAAAATAGAAGTAATAATATCTACCTCTTGGAGTTTTGTGAGAATTAATAAGGTATTATGCGTACATGAACTTGACACATAGTAAGCTCACATCCAGTAATGTTCTTCACATCTTTCATCCTTTCCATTTCCCAGCTATAATAGGCTGGCAAGGAAAAATACAAGAACCCTAATTCAAGTAATGGTTCTAAATTATATCCAGTCTTTTAAGCGGTGTTCCCTCTGTCCAGAAAAAAAAGTCACACATGTTCCTGAAACTCTAGTATTATTTGTTTCTTACAGAAAGGGTGGGTAGTAAAATCTAGATCTAAATTGTCTTACTGTCAGCCCATCAGACACAGAATCCAAAAGAATATATAAAGCGATGCATTTCCTCAGATTTTACTTCTGACTGGGTGGGACTTTAGTTCGTAACCCTTAATGCATCTACATAGTCACCTCCTAGAGACAGCAGAGAAATCTCTCCTACCCCAACTTTATCTTGCCCAGGATTCCTTGGAAACAAAGAATTTACTCTTTCATTCTGTGCTTTTAGAATGTTCTTTTTTTGTGTGCTGGTAATCATATCTTCACCAAATGCTGTCTAGAAGGTTTCTGGGCAGAGCATTCTGGGAGGTGGAGGAGAGGAGGGGGAGGGGCATTCATAGACGTCTTCATTTAAGATGCAATAGCTTCCTAATGATGAACACTTTCACACTGCCCAGAAAATCCTGTGGGCACCTCCAAAGTGTTCTTTTAAAAAAACATTAAATATTTATTTATTTTTGAGAGAGAGAGTGAGAGAAAGAGAGCATGTGCCTGGGAGAGGCAGAGAGAGAGAAAGAGAGAGAGAATCCCAAGCAGGCTCTGAGCTGTCAGCACAGAGTCTGATACAAGGCTCCATCTCATGAACTGTGAGAGCATGACCTGAGCTGATATCAACAGTCAGACGCTTAACCACCAGAGCTACCCAGGCACCCCTCTCCAAAGTATTCTTATGTGTTTTTCCACTAATGAGAAAAGAAGAAGGCTTGTCTGGAAACGTCTCATTCATTCGTCACAAAGCCAGTATCTCTCACTGACCTTACTTGTGTGTGAAAAGATACTAAGGTTTCTCCGTATGTACTTCGCCTTCACCATTCAGTCTCTAGACCCATAGCCAGTCTTCATGACCAACAACTTAGGCATCACTCTCCACCAACAGCACTCTCCCTGTCACATCTATAAACATCAGAGGTCACTCTGCTTCCAGTATACCATTTACAATCCCCAGCCAGACACTGCTGGCTCCAGATCAAGTTCTTTACAAGGGGCACACTTCCTCCTTAATTTGGAATGGTAAAAACAATTTCCCCACATACCTGAGGAGACGAATCACTGAAGTTACCGGTCCTCACCTTCAAGCATCATTCTCCCACTGTACATCTGTCCCCACCCTTAGAGACAGTGGAGGGGACTCTTCTTGACTTTGGGACGTAGGTAAAAGTCCTGAAAATAGCACATGCTCTCCCTCCCAGCTCCCAGATAAACAGGAGAGCATTCTGAGCCCCGGCTTGATCCAACCTTCAAATAAACTTTATAAACTCAAAGGTGTCCTAACTGGCCTTTCATTAGACTGAATGTTGGGTTCAAATAGTGTTGAGTACCATCTATTAAGTACCCTGGGTTGCTGATGCCTCTGCGGGTGACAAGGGACTAGGCCTAAACTTTTTAATCTCAAACAACTGAACCACGTGCAGTGGTAAACAGCTCTCAAAATTTCATCCTTGATCAGAATGGACCCAAGAGAAAGATCTTTAAATTGTTACGATTTTTTTCCCTGGGCTTGTATAATGTGTGCCTGGGGGAGTGGGAAAGGATAAACAGTCCGTTGCCAACAGTGTATCACCAAGTTTCAGATGTCTAGTCCTCAAAGTAACAAACAAACAAACAAACAAGTCATTGTCAATTAATTCTAGAGGTTTGTTGATTGAATGATTTCTAGATGTGCTGTCTTCAGGGAAAGATCCAGCAGTTTCATTTTGTCACCACATTCCTTCCATCAGAGACAGAATGACCCTAAGTCCCCCCA